TTAGTTTAAAATAACAACAATAATAAGAGCAACAAAAAAAGCAAAACTTGGGTTTCATCCCCGTCCATCTTTTCTCGTTTCTCATTCTGTGATTATCCGGGTCTTCCTCATCAAGTCCTTTGCAGAAATTTGCAAATAACCCAAAAAGAAAAATTACAGTAAAGCAGTTAATCTCCGGAGAACACTTTGTCCAATTCTTTACCCCTAGTGGGGGATGCAAAAAGAATGGACAAATGGATTGATGTACAAATGGATAAATGGATATGTAGATGGTTGGATGGATAGATAATTTGCTGGGCAGATGGGTGGATAGATGGGAAATGGATGAACAGATGGACAGAGTTGTATAATTTTAACAAGATAACTGAGTTTATTGACCCTGCACTGTTCAAATTCTCATACTTCCTAATAGTCCAGGACACGTGGCTCCTATACAGGCCAACATCTTCTATAGCCGTGTTTCCTTAGATACTCCATCTCATTAAGTTTGCATCAACTAATTAAATCTGAAAAGCAAAGGGTTCCTTCTCATCTTCCCAAGCAGAGCCGCACTCATGATATAACCAGCCCCTGCTTCATTACGGCTCCCTGGATGCATCTGGTTCCCAGCAGCAGCAGTCTTTCTATTTCTGGTCCTTCAGACCTTTCCAAGTCTCAAATGGAACCCCACGGAGCATCAAAGATGTTTGATCCCAGCATTGTTTATCTAGCTGCAAAACCACTAATAACACAGTCAATGACAGTAGCTACAGAGACAGGAGGTCACTGTCTGGCCTCTGTCAAGGCTTTATGGGTGACTCTCTCCCCTTCCCACAAATACTCATTAATCTCCCCACCTCCTTATTATTCATACTGTGTTGAAGATATTATGAAATCTTTGGGCTCTTCTTCCCTGATCTGGAGGCAATTATAGATTGCTGCAGGCCTGTCCCACCCTGACCAGACATTATAAACACAGTGTTGATGTCCGGAAGAAGTCAGTTGGAGGTTCCAGGCATCCGAGTTCCAGACACCAGGATCTACAGGTCAGTGGTGACAGATTCTCTCTCTCTCTCTCTCTCTCTCTCTCTCTCTCTCTCTCTCTCTCTCTGTGTGTGTGTGTGTGTGTGTGTGTGTGTGTGTGTGTATGTGTGTGTGTGTCTCTGTCTCTATCTCTGTCTCTCTCTATCTCTTTCTCTCTCTCTCTCTATCTCTCTCTCTCTCTCTCTCACACACACACACACACACACACACACACGCTTTTCTATCAGTGCCTTCAAAATGTCAGGTTCTCCAAGGAGCAAGGAATGCCTTCTACAGAGTGTTGTGTGATGCTCTCTAAGTTTGGGAGCACTTGATACAATTTAAGGAGAAGTATAGATTTTGTTAAAGCAAAGTCACTATATATTTGAAATCACAAAGTCATCTCAAAAATAATCATCTAGGCCAGTCGTATTCAAACAGTGTTTTGTTTGTGACACACGGACATTCTCTAGAGACATTCTGTGACTCACTTTTCAGTAGGACAGTGGGAATACCACCAAGATGCTGAAGTCTCCACCACCTCCTCTGAAGCAATCTCCACCACCCCCTTATCTATCATACATCCAACTGTGTTTTTTTTAAAGGAAAAAGAAAATTTTTCTTGTGAAACTTAAACAATTTTGAAAAAAAAATTATCTTACCCAACATCTCAGTGCTATGGGAATAAACTGGAGGTCCAGGGACAGAAAGAATCAAGATGAACTAGTAGCAGAGTTACTTCTGGGATCCATCCTTGTGGTCAAAGCCTGATACATGTGTTTCTGTGTTCTCGTCTTAAGTTCCTGTGTGTGTCAATCATGTGGTTGGATAGAACTTCCGATGAGCTATATATACCATACTTCACGATTTCAGGATCTTATCAACTTTTATAAGGCAAACAATTGTCTTAATGTACACTAATAAACAATATGGTAAATTTTAAAAGGAGCTGAGAATAGTGTTATAACCATAAAGGAGTGAATCATTAAACTTTGAGTCATGGGAACCATAGCTTGACCTAGAAAGCACCTTGACAACCACATAATGTAATGCCATGAACCTGAGCACTGGCCATGAAGAGACATGACCCTGTGTGTTTGAGTTCTCATTCTCGTTGTTGTGCAATTGGATAGACAAGGTACTGAGCCCGTGTGTACTGAAGCCATGCCCAGTGACCTTAATATGAGTGACATGAATGATCAGTGATGAAGGGGGTGGCTTTGGGGCAGAAAAACCAAAGGCAACACTGAGTGAGCCCTTAGAGAGGATGAGGAAGGGATCCTGGAGAGAAAAATGAGACAGTATTGCACAAGCAAACTAAGGTCAGATGGTGGCAAAAAATAGATCTGGGGAGTGTGCCCTTAGAGAGGATGAGGAAGGGGTCCTGGAGAGAAAAATGAGACAGTATTGCACAAGCTAACTAGGGTGAGATGGTGGCAAAATAGCTGGCCAGTGTAGATTCTGGAACTGAGCGGTAATATGGTCAAAGACGTACTTTAAAAATAAATCCCGTATGCTTTTTATAGATTGGGTTCACGATCCAGCAACCAGGAGTACTAGCTTACTTACAGTAGTGACTGAAAACAAAAATAAAGTCATATTTTAAAGGAACGTCTCCTGAAGAGAAGGAGAGGTACATTTTCAGTGCTTCTCGGGGTTTGAAAGATGAGAGAAATATTAGAAAAGTCATAGAAGTAGAATTGAGAGATATAAGTGGATTGAGAGAAGATAATTAACTTCACACGTATCTGGTGTGCATGATGACAGGACTTCCAAAGAAAAGGGTGAACTATGTACTGATTAAGTTTAGCCTAGGTCTGGGAGGCATTAGGCCAAAGCGATGGTTGCAGCTGTAGGAAGAGATGGATTATGATTCCATAGTAAATGAAAATACAAATACATAGGACACCTCCTTATGACTCTCAGCCTTAGACATGACCCTAGGAAAGGGACTCTACAATGTGCCTCTGATAGACGGGGAATTGGAAGAACTCAACTAATGTCAAAGATCCCAAGGAGGTAGTAAGAAATAGAAAAATAATTCTTAAAATGCCTTTGGTTTGGTCTCCATGAAGGTTGGTGTTGTTCTTGGGGACAGAAGGCTTCGTGTAGACAATGTTCGAGAAAATGAAGAGACTGTTGAGGGATCGCAGCTCTATCCGTTAGAGGCACTTGATGCAGGACAGGAGAGTCAGAGAAGTCAGTCAAGGTCTATGGCCAGGAATAAATCAGAGAAAGAAAAGGGGGACATAGACCCAAACTGAGTGAATGGTTGTTTTGGGATTAACAAGGAAGGGGAAACTTTGGAAATCAAGTGTACTTCCCAAGTTTTTTGGTGCCTAAGACTTTAACTAAACACTTTGTACTTTTAAAGAGTAATGCTTACTTTACAAAAGAAATCAAATCTACTACAGGAAAATGTTAAGGAATATTAACAATCATTGATGATCCTGCCAGCCATGACTGAGTGCTTGCTGCAAGAGAGAGCACCAGCGGTCTTTGTCCCCGTGTGTGTATCTCCACACGCCCATGAATTGATTAGAATTACAGTGTGTACATTATTTATAACCTACCCTTTCCACTACATATATCTGGAAATTTTTATGCCATAAATGCCATCATTGATGAGTATATGCTTCTTATTTACTGGATTTGTCATTCCCTTTCAGTCAATGGCCTATTCTTAGACATGGAGAGCATTCCCAACTTCCCAACATTGCAAAAATATTCAATTGAACTGTTTTATAACTAAACATTTGGGCAATCCTTCCCCTTCCCCTGGAACATGCAACAGCACATGCAATCACAGACTAGACAGGCTGCTTGGAGCCTGGTCCATAATGCCAGCATTTGTGCGGAGTCTTCACCCTCATCAGTGCCCTGTTTTCTTCACTTTCTACAGGTCTTAAACTTTTGCCCAGTTGCTTTCCAAGGTGACAGAATCATATAACCAGGAAAAAAAAAAGCCACTTGGGCTACGCCCCATTTCTTACAATACCAAACCACGGATCTCAGTGACACCACGGTTGTCTGAATGACTGTCACCAACATCAGTCTTGTCTTCCTTACCTGTCTCCCTAGGTATCACTTCTTCCATCTCCAAGTCCCGGGTCTTCCCACATTCTTCTATCCCATTTTCTACTCTCTTACATAAAGATTTCTTTTTCTAATCCCCCTTCCTGTTCAGGATGAATGGGATCTACTCGGTAAGCCCAGACACCCCTTCATTTACTCTTGGGAGCTGTTCTCCTACTTTGGTCTGTCCTGAATTTCCTGTGTGCTGTTCTGAATTGGACTTTCTGAGTGATCACTTTAGGGAGGAGCTCTGGGCTAGGATACTCCTCCAGGAAGGAACACAGTCCTGGGAAGCTTTGTGGCTTGGTGTTTATGTAGGTCACTCTCTTCAAGTCAGAGTGCTCATTTTCAAAAGCATGAATCTCTGTATGTCGATCCTGTTCTGATTTTCACCTGGAAGACAAAAGGGAGAGAGGTGTGTGGACCAACTCCACACACATGTCAGCAGCCCCTGATCCCAGGAATGATGCTTCCTAACCTTAGGCCTTACCTGTTCTCCCAAGCTAAGGTGTTCTTCCCTATGCTAAGTGTCTTACACCCTGCTGGGTAAGGAGGACAGAGCAGGATGACCGTCTGGCCAGGCTGGGAAACGGGACTGGATCTGCCCTGAGGTTATCCCCTATCTGTGGAGCACCCACCTCTCAGCCTGGGAAGCGAGATGGTAGGCTCTTTTGGTGAATCTGCTCTTTAGAATCTCAGTAGAGGCTCACACCTCTGTCGACTAAACCTGATCTAGTGGCCAGGAATTAGGAAAAGGCAGAGCTGCCTAGAGCTGGGAGGGCTGGGGAGACTTTGGAGGGTTCTGCAATGCCTACAGGTGGGGAGTAGCTTGTGGCTGGGTATCTCTGAGTCCCAGCATGGCTGCCCCCAAGTACACACTGCTACTCTTCTGACAGCCTGTGTCTTCTTTTCCCCAGTGAAGACCAGACACTCCCAACGGCAAGAATGTGCTCCCTTCCCATGGCAAGATACTACATGTAAGTAATTTTGATGATTTCTCAATCAAGGGGTCTGGGGAAACACATAAGAAGGGAAAGGGCTGAGTCAAAGGATGAAGCTCCTTCTGGCCACACACACACACACACACACACACAAACCCTTAAGCATTGAATTGAATTCAAGCATTGAATTGAAGCAAGAATTGAACTCTTCATCTCTGCCAAAATGACAGCCCTCTTTCCTGATAACAGACTAAGAACTTTGTCAGGTGAGTATTACTAAGTCCATTTTACAGATCTGAAAATTGCAGTTCCAAGAGGCTGTAGAATTTTCCTCATGCCTTACAACCACCCAAAAGCAGGGAGTGGGGTCAGATGCTGTGTTCTCTGAACTGGCATGTCTAGCACTTAGAAACCTCAGACAATCTTGAGTCCCAACGGCAGCATCTTTACAGTGACCTTAACTGATACCTGGGGAGAAGGAGGAGAAGGAGGAGGAGGAGGAGGAGGGGGAGGAGGAGG